GCACCTGTATGTGTCCCTGTGATGGACTGAGACCTGTCCAGGGTGGACCCCGCCCCTCGCACTGTGACTGCTGAAATGGGCACCAGTGACCCTGAAAGGAAGAAGCGTGTACAGAAAATGGATGGATGTGTGAAACACAGTCCAAAAAAGCTGGGACAGTGTCATGTTTGCCACTGTGTGACGTCATCTTTCCTTTGAACACTCAATAAGTCTTAGGGGAACTGAGATGTTAATTGTTGAAACTTTATAGCTGGAATTCCTTTCCATTCTTGCTTCATGTACAACTTCAGTTGTTAAACAGTCCAGGGTCGTATTGATTCATATTTGTATTGGTTGTATTGGTTGTATTGGTTGTATTAATTTGTATTTTGTGCTTCACAATGCGTCACATGGTTTCAATGGGACACAGGTCTGGACCGTAGGCGGACCAGTCTAGTACCTGCACTTACGAAGCCACGCTGTTGTAACTCAGCAGAGTGAAGCTTGGTATTGTCTTGCTAAAACAAGCAAGCTTGGTAGGCAACCCATGATGCTCCAAAAGCTGTTTGTACCTTTCAGCATTAATGGTGCCTTCACACATGTGCAAGTTATTCATGCCATGGGCACTAATACACCCCCATACCATCAGAGAGGCTGGCTTTTGAACTTTGCACAGATAATAATCTGTACAGTCCTTTTCCTCTTTGGCCCAGAGGACACGGCGTCCATGATTTCCAAAAACAATTTGACCAGACCTAAAATATGCAGTTAGGTTGTCTTCAGGTCCAGGCCTCCTGAGCAGAGGAGAACTGGGATCTTATTGTCTGGTTAATAAAAAGGTAAAATAAAAAAAGTTGGAGATGCAAAGTTGACTTTTAATCTGCTTTGGGAGTTAGATTTTTATGTAAACCTTGAAATTGTAACACAAACCATTAGTAAAGCTGGGCCACTGTAACTTTTTTGTTTTTGTGTTGAAATGTGGGGATTCTGCACCTTTTGTGTTGATTTCACAAGGCATTGTGAAATGTTATTCCTTTTTGTATTTTCAGACACGTTGAACAGAATAGGTTCAAGGACACAAACTAAATGATGACCTTTTCTAAGATGTGACCCGTCTGACCCATTCCCTCAGAGATATAGTACCCCAGTATTCGTCAAATGATGTCACAGGAAAAGTGACAGGTGCCCCGCCCTAAGGGGCACCTGTCACTTTTCCTGTGACGTCATTTGACGAATACTGGAGTACTATATCTCTTCCCTCCTTCCAGAATCCAACAACTTTCTGTTTGGTTTTATGTTGATGAACGCCTGTGATTAACAAAAAGAACGTGTTTGTTCTTCTGTTGAAATACTTCCTCTGACTAAATGTTCTTAAAAAGAATAAAACCCATAAATAAAACCTAAAATACATCAATATTATCCTGACTGTCAAGTTTAAGAAAACAGAGCAGCAGAATGAGGCATGGTCATCATCCAGTGTGTGTGTGCGTGTGTGTGTGTGTGTGTGTGTGTGTGTGTGTGTGTGTGTGTGTGTGTGTAGGCGAGTTTCCAGTGTTTCCTGCCTACTAACTGACTGAGCAGTGTTTTCTCAGCTGCACTAACCATGAGAGCGAAGAAAAGATGTTTTCATGGATTTCGTCTCCTTTCCTTCAGCTGACTGAAAACACACCTGGCACTGGGATAAGGTGAGGTCTGTTCTGAGAGGCTCAGTGCTCCTATTCATGTTTTGAGTGCTGACAAAGCAAACAGTCACTGAATCTGTTCTACACTGACTGACCTCGGAGGGAAAGCTGTTAATGCTGATCTGAATGAGTTCTCAGCACCAGAGGGCAGAAAGTGCACAGAAACACTGACAAAGTTCAACAAAGTCCAAAATAAAAAACAACTTTTTGTCCTGTTTGATTTGATGGATGGTTTCTGATCATTTTGCCTCAGTTTGGCCCAAATCTTAGCTGTTGCTTTCTTTGCTGATGTATTTTGTTGTTGCACTTTTACGACCTCCTAACCCCTGATGTTTTATGCTTGTTGTTGTTTTAGCCTCGGCYCTGTCCAGTGTCAAACCAGCTAATATTTCCCTGATGCTTCTGGCCTCACAGCTGCTTCAGGTTAGTGTTGTGTTCGTCGATATGATTTCATGTGGTCTCTTCTCATGTTTGGCACTAGTTAGGTTTAATTTTCTCAGTTGTTTTTGGTTCTGTTTACAGTGAACTTTGTGCCCAAGCTTCAGTAATCATCCAGGTTGTTGCTGTGCTGCCTCCCATGATGAAACCTTTTTCTTACCCTCACTGGTTTCACTGTGGGAGCTCTGATTAGTTCATGTTTCTGTCAAATGGTTTTGTTGTTTTGGTGAAAAATGTAATTAAATCAGCCCAAAAATGGATCTGATAGTTCTTGGCTTCATCCCTGTTTGACTTTAGCTAACCAACCCTGGGCTGAGACACAGATCCTACCTAAACTGTTGGTCTAAAAGTATTTCAAGATATTTGTGAAAAAGCCTTGGCGTCTGATTGCGTGAGCTGAAAGGGATATCTGAGGAGAGGGAGGTCTGAGGATGTCTGCCAAAYTAATTCCCCTGTGACTCAGTCTGGCATGAATGGTATAAAGGATTTATGAGTCACTTTTATTAATGTTTTTGTGATTTAATACAGCATTTATCAAGGAAATATCACAAAAACACAAGCTCTTGACTTGTCTGTCAGTCCATCCATACTTCCATCCCCTTACCTGAACTCTTTTAATGTAGAGAAGTAGTTTTATCTAAGCTCCCTAAAGATGTCAGAGCTCCTTGGCCACTCATGGAGGACGCTCATTTCAACTGCTTGTATTTATGATTGTGTTCTTTAGGTCATGATCTGGGAGTAAAAATGGATCCTTACATGAAAATAAAAGTCATGTCAACTCAAATCCTAAATCCTGCTTTTTGTTCTGTTGAGGGGACTGTTCAAGTTGAAGCTCATTCTATCTAAATACATCCTGAGACAGTAACTCATGCTTTCAGAACATCCAGCCTTGATAACTATAATGTGCTGCTTTATGAAATCAGCCTGATTCACTTTAAGATCCTCTTGTTTCTAAATGCCTCAACACTTCCCCCACCTCTCTGATCCACTTCATCTATATGTCCCACAGCACTCCCTCAGGTCAGATGATCAGCTCCTTTTGCTGTCTGTAACCTCTTCTGTGCATCTTTATAATACTGTCATTTTTATTTTCTTTTCTGTTCTTTTCTTTTCAACTCAGTTCATTCAATTCAGTTCAGTTTATTTCTACAGCTCCAAGTCCCAACACACGTTGTCTCAGGACACTGTAGATAAAAAGAACAATGTAAAGAAGAAAGCAGCAGATTGTG